AACATGACACGAAGTGAGACGGTCAGATCACCAGTGTATTTGACGAAGTTGCTCTGATTAGAAGGAGAAAAGTCATGTAAGACGAGAGAGAAAAAAGAAAAGGAGTGATAAAAATAGCCCGAGGAACACCAGCTTCAGCAAGCGAGGCGGAAGATTTACCCTAATATACAGTATGCTGCATTCCATTTGAGAAATGATAATGCAACCAATCAACTGCCCAGGACCCAAGTTTGCACGATCGAAACCTTATTCAACTAAAGTCATCTAGGCGCTGAGTCAACAACAACGGCGAATGCTGAATGAACGAAAGCTAAGCACAAAAGTGACAAAGCACAAATCCAGTTGCAAAGTAGGAGACGAGTCCCGGGTGGAAGAAGAGATTACTGAAAGGTATCTATTTTTCATTTGGCGAAGAACAAGATTAAGAACTACACTTATCATTTGTTGAAATTTTGGAGATCATTTATCAATGTTTCGCATTTAGTTATGCCCAGACTGTGTCATTCTGACTAGCTTTCAGTATGAGTTTGCAGAGAAGTCCACCTGTTTAATTTACCACATTTCATGTAGCACACGAAGGTAGAGACATAAAACTAAATGGAAGTTTAACGAGCGAAAATGTGAGGGAGAATAAATAGTGACAAGGAAAAACATGAGTTGAATAAATACGTAAGATTACACAGAGTGAATGCAGGTGTACCAGTGCCAAAGATTTGCAGTCACATCTCCGGTAGTTCTTCAAGCTGACTGTCAACAATTTTATGAACCAATATCACTTTTTCATTTGACCGACCCAAACACATTTTAAACCTTAACATGTGCTGGCTAGTATTGTCCCTGGAGAAAGGCGATGGCTTTGTATGCCATCACGTGTTCTAGCCATCTCAACCTATTCAGCTTCCCTACCTTGAAGACTAACCCTCCCCACCTAAACATTTATGCGTAACCTCAACAGCACTCGCCATATTACACTGCTTTACTCATGAGATAGAACGCGGACACCTATAATCAAATACCGGTATTATTTTCATATTTTACAGCATCAGAGGTTACTTCTCATAGTCTAGGTGGACAATATCATCAGTAAACTGTGAGTTGATGAGACTATTCCCTGATAAGTCTCTAAAGTCAATTACAGATTATTCTACTAATATATGTGTGATTGAATTGAACTGATATAAGGATGACAGTTTAAGAATTCAGCCTTGTATTACATCCCACTCGGAAATGTGTTTTCTCGGATAATTCGCAAACAGTATTCAGTGAATAAAAAACATTCTGTTGGCTTAATGAAACTCGTAAACTGACGCACTACTTTTGCAGGCACTATAGTATTTCCTCAATAAAGTGAGAATTGAATATTTCGGCTGCATAAAACGAGTAAGTAGTATCCTGGGAATACCAATGACTACAACAAGTCTAGGAGTTATGCACTACAACTTTTACTTTACTGAATACACCAGCAGACTTTACATAAACACTTGACAGATCAAATTTATGCAGGAAGTCAGTAAGATTTAGTAAACTAAAAGTGCTTTCGGTTTCCACAGGAGTTCTCCGTGCCGAATTTATTCCTTCAAGGGCCTACAGAGATTAATTCTTCAATTAAATACCACTGACGTGGAAGAAATTCCATTCTTCATTACTACACTTAATGAAAAGAATCATGTTTTTTATTTTAAAAACAGGAGCATTCGTAATGTTTTACTTTATGTAAATGCAGTTACATACAGTTGCACTAAGAACTCAACGCAGCTCGATACACAATAGTATATATATAAATAAACTGAAAAATAATGTCCTCCTTACCTTCTGAACAACTTGTCCTTATTCCAGGATTATAATTTTTTCACCTATGAGCCTGAGTTACGTCTACGAAATAGCAGTATGAGGATATACGCTATAACCAGGTGTTATCGCGCAGCGACATCGGTTACCGCGTTCACGGCTACAGGCGTTATAATCGCCTAATTTTTGGGAAATAGATCATATTTGACTAGTTTTAGACTTCTGGAGCCAGACGGCAGTATTTTGTTCGTAGTAAAGCGTAAAATTGTATATTATAGCTCGGACGGATTATCAATAAAGAAGTCATCCTTTTTAAGAAAGTTCGCATAGAAAGACTATTATTTGTATTATAGTGAGTTGAGGGTTTGTTTTTCGCAATTTGTTTCAGATCTTAAGGTTGTAAATATACTACAGGCAATGGCAGAGTACTTAATGTCAGAGTACTTAAAATGAGTATCAGCTATCTGTTGATTAGTAGCTAGCAGGTGTGTCATACAACTACTACACCTGTTACATAGATTATATCAATCTTAATAATTATTTTGTTTCAAATCACTAAAATATTCTGAGATTCTTAATGACTTAATTATGGCTATGAAAGATGCACTTATAGCCCTTATATTTCAAGCAGTTATTACTAAACAAGTTATCTGTAAGCATTTTGTGATGTTCTGGTTACAATGCTTGAGTGTATGGGGTTACTGCCTGCTTCTGTGAGTTAAGGGATATTTGGTGAAAATCATGATACAATGAAGGTTCCTATAGACTCACTATGAATACTGCAAACTGTTGATAAGAAACTGCATCAAAGGAAAAAATGCCGAACAGCTAGGAAATACTACCTCAGTATCGATGGTTATTACCTTTTGCATTTGTAAATCATCCTTCAAAAGCTCAGATTAACGGCAAACCATCCATGGTACCCCACAGGCCCTACAGAAATTTGTGAGAGATCTTACACGTCAGGTTGCCTTAGGAATTGTAAGGTTGCAGATATTTCAATTTACCTGTCACTGAAATATCACTTATCTACTTCACGATGGTCTTTTCATTTGTGCACTATTACACTACATTTTATCTTAACTGGATATGCCTTTATTAAAGCTGAGACTTACTCTTTGTGCCTATTAGTTGCTTGCTTACAGTCTAGTTGCCTTTATTAGAAACACAACAGCACCAGTGTTTGAACAAAGCTGTATTTTCATGGAAAACGTCTTATTTTCTATGCTTACACCGATATGGTTTGCATTAAACATTGCAAATGTATACCAACATTCCAAGGACATAGCACTTAACCAAATGTACAGTGTTCATTGTTAAGGGTTTACAATCTAAATCTTATCATAACCTGTTCTAATTATTATTATTTGCTTGCTGCTATCCTTTAGAAGATGAACAATATGTGTGACAGTAAAAACCACAGAAGAATGCTGTCATGAACGAAGAATGAGAAAGGAGAATGAACCATTTTCAGCAAAGGTAGGCAAATGCAAAGCGTTCAACTTAAAATTACTCCTTTCTTGCTTCAGCGATTTAAAAAAACACTTTGTTTACTTATTTGCAGATATCCGGTAACGTCAGTCAACCCGGTCACAGCGATTCGACATTGCCCCAATTATTACGACAAACAACTGCGTAAAGACATTTGCTTGTTATTATTTTTCATTAAATATATTTAACATCATGCTTACCAGACCTTTCTTGTTCTCTCTGAGTGTACCCATATTTGTCATGATGACTAGATGCACGCATCACTTATCAATGAGACCCGACGAAGTAATTGGTGGCATATTTCAGTGTAATGTAAATGTGACTACGATTGCTACAGCTCAACCTATTCAATTATTCGTCTCGTGTACACTTCACCTTACACTGTAAGGTAACACCCATAATCATATGAATCGACATCACGCTTTAAGTGAAATATTGGTAATGAACTGCTTTTGAATACACTTTACCTTATAAGAAATCGACTCAATTGCAGTGCCTAAGTTCATTTCTTATTTTTCAAATACTGAAGTATTTTTGTACTTGGTCCCTACAGACTTCCCTATGACTAGGAGACGTAATCGCGTAGCTTTAGGCAGATTTTTGGGCTTGACTTAAGTACTTATAATTCACTACTTATATCGATCGATAGTGTTCCTACAGAATTACACCTATATACAGTAACGCGTTCATATCCTAGGGAGTACCGGTCTACCATGCCGTATTCCCACCGCATGCAGAACAAATACAACACAAGAATATTAGATAGAAAATTTTATTTTACTGCAACGCAAACAAGTTTATTTACATGTATTATCTGAGCACAGTCAAAGATGAAAGTCTTCGTTTGGAAAGTATCTCCCATTATTCGACGGAAACTGTCCAGTGTCCGAAGTGCGTCACCTTTGAATTCTTCCAAAATTCAAGCAAACAGAACTCTGCGCCCACATGCAAATCTATCCGGTATCACAAACTGTAAAAAAGAATATCTGCATGGTTATACGTGAATGAGTGAACTTACCTCCACTTGTTGTATGCAGAATCAATTTCTAAAACTGATTATGCAAATGTATCCAATTATAAGTCGTAAAACGCTCATCACTGTTTTTCGGATGCCTTTGTCCGAATGCAGCTACATCTGCTTTCACTGGATTTAATGAACTGACTGACCTCATTGCGACCCATCATTCCTGAAAGTGATACAGACTAAATTCACTTACATAAATTAAGCATTTACATAATTAACATGCATGAACATATTTGAGTTAAGTATAAGCTAAGTTTAGTCTTCCTAATTCACACTTTTTCTGAAATGTGGAGCACGTTAATGGTGCAGAAAATATCATGAACATTACGCATAAATAATATTATTAACTGTCAGTAATTGTGCCATCGAATCATACTACAAGAATGCATTTGATAATACTTTGTTAGTGGTCTGAGGGACAGAAATACTAGACCGAAACATACGGGCTAGATGAAAGTCTCACAAAACTGTCCCACTAAAATACAATGTCCCACTCGTGGATTTCCTATACGCGTGTGAACGTATCCACATACTGGTATGCGGAAAAGTTCGTCACTGTTAGCAATATATGAAGTTCACGCCTTTTGAAAGTCTTCTAATGCTTTTGTAGCTTCCTACATATGTGCTGCTTGCGCTCGCGCTGATTACCTGCGATGAAATTCTAGAAAAAGGGCTCGTTAACGAAGCACATTATTACAACAGCTTGTGATAGCTAAGTCGCAAGAAACACAGGATACCAGACTATGTGAGTGATAAATCACGAAGTAGGGAATACTGTACCTAAAAACACAACTCAAGAAATGCATTGGCACCCACGGGATGGTAGTCACTGATAGGAACCATGATGCCTGACCAGGTTCCAGGGAGTTTATAGCGAAAAGAGAAGCGTATCTGTGTAAAAAAACAGTGAAACAATGTTAAAATAGTCAAAAATTACATCTATCTTTGTCAAATTTGCTTGCAAACGGCGCATAACACAACCACACAAAACCTCACACGATACGACCTACAAAGGACAAATCAAATATCCAATTGACCGCCACCGTTCTAGCCAATGAAAGACGAGAAAACCTGAATCGCGGAAAATATAACCACGTCATAACGTATATCCTCACCCAAATAGCAATATTACATCAGTTAAATCTTCCCCCAAAACCAAGGCCACTTGAAACCAATAGCAACATAGCAACAAGCGTCATTGAGGGGATATGCAATAAAGTCGCTCGTTAAAACCACAAGTTAAAACTTGAAAATATGTTGCCAAGGAACGTATCCCTAAGTTCTTATTGTTATGAAGACGCTCCGAACCGATAAATACTATGTACTTTCTTCGACTTTAACCCCAAAACACCAGTATGGGTGAGGATATCCGTTATGACGTGGTTATATTTTCCGCGATTCAGGTTTTCTCGTCTTTCATTGGCTAGAACGGTGGCGGTCAATTGGATATTTGATTTGTCCTTTGTAGGTCGTATCGTGTGAGGTTTTGTGTGGTTGTGTTATGCGCCGTTTGCAAGCAAATTTGACAAAGATAGATGTAATTTTTGACTATTTTAACATTGTTTCACTGTTTTTTTACACAGATACGCTTCTCTTTTCGCTATAAACTCCCTGGAACCTGGTCAGGCATCATGGTTCCTATCAGTGACTACCATCCCGTGGGTGCCAATGCATTTCTTGAGTTGTGTTTTTAGGTACAGTATTCCCTACTTCGTGATTTATCACTCACATAGTCTGGTATCCTGTGTTTCTTGCGACTTAGCTATCACAAGCTGTTGTAATAATGTGCTTCGTTAACGAGCCCTTTTTCTAGAATTTCATCGCAGGTAATCAGCGCGAGCGCAAGCAGCACATATGTAGGAAGCTACAAAAGCATTAGAAGACTTTCAAAAGGCGTGAACTTCATATATTGCTAACAGTGACGAACTTTTCCGCATACCAGTATGTGGATACGTTCACACGCGTATAGGAAATCCACGAGTGGGACATTGTATTTTAGTGGGACAGTTTTGTGAGACTTTCATCTAGCCCGTATGTTTCGGTCTAGTATTTCTGTCCCTCAGACCACTAACAAAGTATTATCAAATGCATTCTTGTAGTATGATTCGATGGCACAATTACTGACAGTTAATAATATTATTTATGCGTAATGTTCATGATATTTTCTGCACCATTAACGTGCTCCACATTTCAGAAAAAGTGTGAATTAGGAAGACTAAACTTAGCTTATACTTAACTCAAATATGTTCATGCATGTTAATTATGTAAATGCTTAATTTATGTAAGTGAATTTAGTCTGTATCACTTTCAGGAATGATGGGTCGCAATGAGGTCAGTCAGTTCATTAAATCCAGTGAAAGCAGATGTAGCTGCATTCGGACAAAGGCATCCGAAAAACAGTGATGAGCGTTTTACGACTTATAATCGGATACATTTGCATAATCAGTTTTAGAAATTGATTCTGCATACAACAAGTGGAGGTAAGTTCACTCATTCATGTATAACCATGCAGATATTCTTTTTTACAGTTTGTGATACCGGATAGATTTGCATGTGGGCGTAGAGTTCTGTTTGCTTGAATTTTGGAAGAATTCAAAGGTGACGCACTTCGGACACTGGACAGTTTCCGTCGAATAATGGGAGATACTTTCCAAACGAAGACTTTCATCTTTGACTGTGCTCAGATAATACATGTAAATAAACTTGTTTGCGTTGCAGTAAAATAAAATTTTCTATCTAATATTCTTGTGTTGTATTTGTTCTGCATGCGGTGGGAATACGGCATGGTAGACCGGTACTCCCTAGGATATGAACGCGTTACTGTATATAGGTGTAATTCTGTAGGAACACTATCGATCGATATAAGTAGTGAATTATAAGTACTTAAGTCAAGCCCAAAAATCTGCCTAAAGTTACGCGATTACGTCTCCTAGTCATAGGGAAGTCTGTAGGGACCAAGTACAAAAATACTTCAGTATTTGAAAAATAAGAAATGAACTTAGGCACTGCAATTGAGTCGATTTCTTATAAGGTAAAGTGTATTCAAAAGCAGTTCATTACCAATATTTCACTTAAAGCGTGATGTCGATTCATATGATTATGGGTGTTAACTTACAGTGTAAGGTGAAGTGTACACGAGACGAATAATTGAATAGGTTGAGCTGTAGCAATCGTAGTCACATTTACATTACACTGAAATATGCCACCAATTACTTCGTCGGGTCTCATTGATAAGTGATGCCTGCATCTAGTCATCATGACAAATATGGGTACACTCAGAGAGAACAAGAAAGGTCTGGTAAGCATGATGTTAAATATATTTAATGAAAAATAATAACAAGCAAATGTCTTTACGCAGTTGTTTGTCGTAATAATTGGGGCAATGTCGAATCGCTGTGACCGGGTTGACTGACGTTACCGGATATCTGCAAATAAGTAAACAAAGTGTTTTTTTAAATCGCTGAAGCAAGAAAGGAGTAATTTTAAGTTGAACGCTTTGCATTTGCCTACCTTTGCTGAAAATGGTTCATTCTCCTTTCTCATTCTTCGTTCATGACAGCATTCTTCTGTGGTTTTTACTGTCACACATATTGTTCATCTTCTAAAGGATAGCAGCAAGCAAATAATAATAATTAGAACAGGTTATGATAAGATTTAGATTGTAAACCCTTAACAATGAACACTGTACATTTGGTTAAGTGCTATGTCCTTGGAATGTTGGTATACATTTGCAATGTTTAATGCAAACCATATCGGTGTAAGCATAGAAAATATGACGTTTTCCATGAAAATACAGCTTTGTTCAAACACTGGTGCTGTTGTGTTTCTAATAAAGGCAACTAGACTGTAAGCAAGCAACTAATAGGCACAAAGAGTAAGTCTCAGCTTTAATAAAGGCATATCCAGTTAAGATAAAATGTAGTGTAATAGTGCACAAATGAAAAGACCATCGTGAAGTAGATAAGTGATATTTCAGTGACAGGTAAATTGAAATATCTGCAACCTTACAATTCCTAAGGCAACCTGACGTGTAAGATCTCTCACAAATTTCTGTAGGGCCTGTGGGGTACCATGGATGGTTTGCCGTTAATCTGAGCTTTTGAAGGATGATTTACAAATGCAAAAGGTAATAACCATCGATACTGAGGTAGTATTTCCTAGCTGTTCGGCATTTTTTCCTTTGATGCAGTTTCTTATCAACAGTTTGCAGTATTCATAGTGAGTCTATAGGAACCTTCATTGTATCATGATTTTCACCAAATATCCCTTAACTCACAGAAGCAGGCAGTAACCCCATACACTCAAGCATTGTAACCAGAACATCACAAAATGCTTACAGATAACTTGTTTAGTAATAACTGCTTGAAATATAAGGGCTATAAGTGCATCTTTCATAGCCATAATTAAGTCATTAAGAATCTCAGAATATTTTAGTGATTTGAAACAAAATAATTATTAAGATTGATATAATCTATGTAACAGGTGTAGTAGTTGTATGACACACCTGCTAGCTACTAATCAACAGATAGCTGATACTCATTTTAAGTACTCTGACATTAAGTACTCTGCCATTGCCTGTAGTATATTTACAACCTTAAGATCTGAAACAAATTGCGAAAAACAAACCCTCAACTCACTATAATACAAATAATAGTCTTTCTATGCGAACTTTCTTAAAAAGGATGACTTCTTTATTGATAATCCGTCCGAGCTATAATATACAATTTTACGCTTTACTACGAACAAAATACTGCCGTCTGGCTCCAGAAGTCTAAAACTAGTCAAATATGATCTATTTCCCAAAAATTAGGCGATTATAACGCCTGTAGCCGTGAACGCGGTAACCGATGTCGCTGCGCGATAACACCTGGTTATAGCGCATATCCTCATACATTCTTAACGAAATTGAAATTCAAAAAAACGGGACAACGAACAAAAGCGTATGACCGCGTAGAAATACATGTGTAACAAACAAAAGCAACGTTCAGTGATACAATGGCATATATTCCATAAGCATATGTGAAATTAGTTTCTATAATGGTATAACGTGCATACTTGGATTAGTTTTAGGAGCGTGCAGTTAGGCTTAATATATAGGTGCTACAAACACACCAGATACAGAAAGTAGACCGATGAATGCTTCTGGTGATTTACATGGTGGTTGACTAATATGATGTGTCAAAACACCGCAAATTCAGTTAGCATGTATATTAAATGTTTCATTAAATTCTGCTTTAACTGTGATGAGAGCTGGCTGCAGGTCAAAGATTGTAAACAGCAATATGCGTCAACGCTGCGTCATGAATCGGGGGCATGAGAAAAACAGTAACTAAGCTCAACCTTGAGGGATTCACCAACCAATCACAGCAGACTTAACGTGTGCAGATACGATTCACATATATGTGGCTTAACTTTCTAAGAAAAGGTTACAAGCAGAACAGAACAATCTTCAGCAGGAAAACAACTAATCAGAAAATGTTGCCTCTCCGCTGACAATAATGTGCATCCCTTGGTTTTCCCTCGTCTTCTGTCGTTACACTATTAATTAAATTCTACCACTTCTAATATCATAAGTCTTTGAGTTGATGCCAGTATGTTGATTGTTGCGACGAGCTGTGTATGTAGTAGGTTCGTATTTGTGGTGTCTATCGACTAAGGGTTCATTGCATAACCGAAGACGTGTAATTCAAGCTAATAGTCAGTTTCAGAAAGTTAGGGGGCACTGTAGAATCTTTGGAGCAGACTTCAGACCACTATCCGATGTTCTGTAACACACCAGACGATTCTGCGGTGCACCCGAGGATATGCCAGCTGGGTTAGTGGGTAAAGTGTAACTTCAGTGTTGGCATTGCAGCATCAAAAGGCGCAATCGTGTTTTTTTCTGGCAGAAC